CATTGACCCAACGATCGAGTTGTCTTCTTCTCAACATTAGTTCCAATATTTGAGAGGAATCAAACGGGGAAAAAACTGGAGAGATGCGTTACAAGTAATCAATATAACTACCCTCTTTGGCCCAAAAAACATTTCCCCGGGCAGTGAGATACAGCCTCGGAAATTGTGCCCTTACAGACCCCCTGTGTGCACTTCAAACGTTTACAAACCACGCACACAGAAGTAGAAACGGAATGCTTCGAGGCACAGCCACACCCATAAGACTGAAGACTTTCGAATCTAGCCGACATGATGCGGACCAGTAGATCGGGGAGGAGCTTTGCTTGAGGAAGAAGCGACCTGGGGGTATGGAGTCTAATGTTGTAACAGCAGATGCTGCAGAACTGGTCTCTCCCGTGTGTGACCTTGCATTTTTCGGTAACACTCATCGATGGTAGAGCACTCTTCGTTACCAGATGGCCTGCGCAGACTGTAGATGCTCCGTCTCAACGAAAATGTTCATTTTCGTCCTACAACCAAGCCGTGACGATGAACGACGCCCTCAAGTGACTACAATTTTGCAATCACAACCGTTATTGTAGTAGTAAAAGCAGTACTGGGTGTGCAGCCCGAGATGCGGCTATCAGTGGCTGATAAAGACAAATAAGATAAAAATAACCATCCCAGTCTTTGTCAGCAAGAACTCTCGCTGATGATCGCTAGTGCAGGCCGTAGACCCTCAGTTCCAAGGCAGAGCGAAAATGCCCATATTGACCCTGCAGGCCTCTGCCCGCACGATGACAACGGGGTGCCAGGGAATACATAGGACAGCAACATTAATGCCAGTCGATGCGATCCTTTGCGGTTCCCTAATAGTCCACGGGGTAATTTCCGTTGATTATGTTTACGAAAAATGAACGAAAATAGCAGCAGAATTCTTAAGTCCATAACTGTGTCTGCTAATCAGTGTCTCTCTTCAAAATGTCATCCTGCGTAACGCACTGGCACTGGCAGACATCAACTGCTGAAGTATCTTCGGCAAACATTTTAAAATGGACAGGAATTTGAGACCCGAAGGTAAAACACCAAATCAGAACATTAGGGCGATCTCATCGGTTTCTAGAAGCCACTGCTGCATCAACCCGAGCTCGAATACAGTTGGCACAAGTACATGAAGCCGCATACTGATTCAAAACGCTGAAGGCGTCGGAACATTCAAAACATGCATGAAGACCCTCAAATATGCTTGCAAAACCAAAATATTACTCGAATTAAAGTTGTCGTCATCGGGCCCGTACTTGTAAACACGTAGGTGTTTTGCTGAGAATCATACATACACAGGAATAGCCGGATGTTTAAGTTAGATGGACGATTTTGTCAACTTATGGTGCTTACAAGATTGGAGTATTAATTCATGTTTTACAGCTGTTTTACGGGAACATGCGTACTGTTGAAAACTGACATTTGGAGGGACAGAACTTTCTGACATCATGGAACACACCAGGAAACACATTTCCATCTCAGTAGACGGATTAATGCAAATCTCGAAGTATGTAACGTGATCGTGATTTTTGTCAAACATCTTGCTAACGGTATTAGGCGTCTGATATGGCGTTTAAGAACTATGGAATTTTTCAAAGGAAATAAACTGCACAGCCTTGAAATTATAAAAACAACTGAATGCAAACTATCCATCAAAATGAATACATTTGATTGAACTTCTTAATACCGACCACCTATGTTTTCGGGGTTCGATTTGGAAAAAAACAAGTTCTGTGCCTGCAACAGAGAAACGCCGGTTAAGTTTACATAATCATTGAAGACCCGTGTACGATTGCGCTACT